TATATTTGAAAAACTTCTTGAGCTGATGAGAATAACATGTGCATGATTATTGAAGTGCTTCTGACTTCTGATCCTTTCAAAAATGGACAAAGGAGTAAAGTGCGAAGAAACAAAAGAGAAGCCGAAGAAAAACTAAGGAGCAAATGATTCTTTCAGCAACCAGAAACAAACAAACTGCAATGTTTATCCATCATCATCACCTTTTGAACTATTATGAACTTGAAATGACGTAATTATTTTCTAACAGAGGTTACATGTGCTGGTGTAGATTAAATATAGAGAGAAGAGGTTTGCACTGACTGGACTATATGTTGTTTGCTGTTTTTGTAGCCAAATAATGACAAAGTATGCTGTGTGTAGTTTATCTTTAATTGGTAACATATTGGATACTGTAAGGACCTGTATGTGTTCATATGTCACATTTATTCATTTTATTAGTTGCAGATGTTACAGTAGGCTATTTCACTGATCTGCAGTTATAATCAAATCATGTTCATGGAAAGGACTGCCATTTGTCAAACACCACACCCATCAAAAGGGTACCATTGGTGCAAACACGGATTATAAACAATAGTTAAAGCATTGTAAATTAATGCGCACTACAAGGTTTTAGTTAGCTCTCTGTGGCTTTCAACTAAGCAATTCTAATATAACTTTCAAATATTTATATATAAACTAAAGGGGCTTTTGATAAAAGTTTATAAACAAAATAGTTTTGGAATAAGATCAGTTTGTCCATTATACTAGCTGTTGAAAGCACAGGTAAAACTCCTCGCTCACTCAGTCTCACACACACACTGGACAATGAAACTGAAACACTAGCCAATTTAGTTATAGAGGATTCATGGCTAAATTTGACTAGCTTAGTGGCTTCACTGATTGAAAATTCCATCAGTAAAGCCAGTCACAATGCACTTTTCGCCCCATAGACTTCGATTTATACGCAATTTACCCTAAAGGCTGATTTATACTTCCGTGTCAAACGCCGGCATATGCTACGGCGCTGACGCATAGCCCTTCACCGTCGGCTGTCACTGACGTGCACCGCTCAAAAAAATGTAACTACACGTCGCAACGACGCGTAGCGCAAGCTCTGTGATTGGTCGGCTTGGTAGTGCTGACGACTCTGGGCAGGACCAAGAGCCGCGTGAATGGTGCGAGCCTGATGGAGCGATTGTTTACAAGTGTGGAGTCCCATGAAGAAGCTCCGGATGGAAAGTTTTGTTTTGTGTTTACCTCATAGTTAAAGTTGTTGCACGTCTGCCGGTTCCTGCCTCAAAATGAGCGAGCTTGAGCCACTCGACACAGAGGAACATTTGCACATCACTGACAACTAGCGTTTCGGAAGTGTTAATGCAGACCAACAGAGACAATGATCAATGATCATTTTGCGTTATTTTTGTATATTTATCTTTAGGAAATCACTGAAGGTATATATCATGTTATCATAACGATATAATGTGTCAATAAGTAACTGTACTGTTTATTTACACCGTGGCAATATTAATCCAAGTAAATATGAAAACAATATTAACATTATGCCAGACACAGTAAAAAGTGTCATCAAGTGAAAGTTTGTGGAACTGCAATACAGTATTTATTACTGTGGATTATGGAAAGTAAAATTTTGCGGTTTTTATCTTTATTTTTTTAAAGCAAGAAGGTACAACACGAACCCCATTATGGATGTATTAAAACATATGCTTGTTTGTTTTAAAAAGTAAAGTAATAATGACAAAAAAATACTAATTTGTGCATTTCCTGACTTCAGTGTGAAGCCATGTTGCTGCTGTAGATGGTGTATTCTGGGAAATTCTTACCCCTTGGTTTTGAGTGTGGTTCTTAAAAAAAAAAAATCTCTGTTTGAAGGGGTATCTAGCCCTTCCCTTAGCCCTACGCCTTCAAACTAATGAGAATTGAGACACCTATATGGCGCATCTATCTAAAATAGTCGCTCGTGCCAACGGTACCAGAAGCAAAAGTACTGGGCTGTGGACAATGTGAAATATGTATCGTTCTTTGATGAGTCCACCTTTACCGTCTTCCCTAACAATAGAAGAGTTACAGTGTGGAGAAGCCCTAAAGAAGCATACCACAAGCATCACTGTCAAGAACTACTGAACCTTTCTGGAGGACCATGTGCATCCAATGATTTAAGCATTGTATCCTAAAGGCGGTGCCGTAAATCAAAATGATAATGCATAAACACAAACAAGATTGCTGACAGAGTGGTTTGATAAACATAAAAATGAAGTTGAACATCTCTCATGGCCTGCAGTCACCACATATAAATATTATTGAGCCACTTTTGGGTTTTTTGGAGGATTAATCGAGGAAACATTTTCCTCCACCAGCAACACTTAGTGACATAGCCACCTAACCCTGCAAGAACAATGGCTCAAAATCTCTCTGGCCACAGTACAGGACATGTATCTGTCATTCCAAAAAGGAAGTCATGCTGCATTGGCCACAATTGGAGGCCCTACACCATACTAACAACTTATTGTGGTCTAAAACCAGGCGTTTCAGTTTCATTGTCCAACCCCTGTATGCATATATGTGTATGTGTGTGTGTGTGTTTAAGTATATACACACACACACACACACACACACACACACACACTGTATGCATGCATGTAAAGTGCTCACATATCTTTCTTTTATATAAACTTTCTATATAATGCTTTACTATGCGTGTATGCACATAAGATCAGCCAGTAACAAAAAGCAAAAAGTAATCTAAAATTTAAAAAGTAGTTTAAAAAAAAAGTCCAAATATTTTCCACAAATACTTTATACACCCAAATTAATATGCATTCTTAAAAAAACGGGAAAAAGTATTTAAAAAAAATCTATCTGAAATGAAGTTAAAATTGGAGCTGTACAGTTAACTAAATATAAAAAGTGTCTATATTTGTCTTATAATGCACATAATGGTTTAAAAAAATGTGTTTAAATCAGGGGTGCCCAAACTCAGTCCTGGAGGGCCACTGTCCTGAAGAGTTCAGTACCAACACCAACTAGACACAGCTAAAACAGCTAACCAAGCTCTTAGTAGGTATGCTACAAACTTTCAGGCAGGTGTGGTGAAGAAAGTTGGAGCTAAATTATGGAGGACACCTGCCCTCCAGGACAGAGCTTGGGCACCTCTGGATTAAATGCACCATATATATATATATATATATATATATATATATATATATATATATATATATATATATATATATGATACAATTGATACACATATTAATTTTCAAAAAGGAGTGTACTCATTAATGCTAAGCATTGTAGCTATTTTTCCCTCCAATCATTCATCTATTTTATTGCTCTTTATTATTATATTTAATACATACTTAAACCTGAAATGGAAATAAAATAAAATAAAAATGAAATGGAAACTATTGCTTATACAATTGAACAGACATATTTTAATTAGTTAGATAATTAATTAGTTGGAAATATTTCTAATTGGCCATGTGCATGGGGTGACTGTAACACACATTTGTTTTTAGTTACATTAAAAAAAAACTAACATTTAAACACTAGGATTAATCTTAGTCTGGTTTTTAGCTGCAAAGAATAAATCTCTGTAGTTACTTAATTTTGCCTGCTTTCATGGAATCGAGTCAAGACTAAATTCAGCCAGGATAGTTTGAAAATCCCAGCTTAATCTTTTATCCAGATTTTTGCGCAATACCCCACTGTACTTAACATTGTCTGATTGATCAGATTGACAAAACACATCTTAAAGGGATTGTTCACCAAAACAGAGATCAGAAACATTATGCGCCAAATATGCTTGAGTTCTAGTGTCTGTGCTGCTTTGTAAAACAACAAATCTGACTGCCATATGACCAACTAATATTACTTTATCATACTTAACTATTATATTTTTAATACTTTATTAAATATTATTATAGAAATTAAGACGTTTTATTTTGTTAGTAAGTGAAAATTATTTAATACACTGTTTTAAAAAAAATGCTAAATTGCCACTAAAAACATCAATTTCTAACCATTACTTTTATTTTCATAAATACAACATGCAGTGACACTAAAAGAAAAACAACATTTACCTGAAAGCCTAAAAATTACTTTTCCAAAAGAGAAACTGTTAATTACTATGCATGCATTTGCTTTTCAAAGCAAACTGCACTGCACTGAAACTGCACATTTACTTAAAGTTGATATTACCTTGTAAATGAACCAAGGTTTTAGCACTACAAGCACCAATGTGTCCTGTAATAGGTCATTATAGGCCAGTAGAACTATTCCCAATATTATCATTTCCATGTGATAAACATGACAGCCACCATCAGGTGACATGTTCTATGTGAAATAAATCAGTTTTATATTAGGTTACTGATCTGAATGCTAGAACACTATTAGTTCCATGTATAATTAGTCAATTTTTCACAGATAGTCCTGCTCTTTTCACAACAACTGTACTTGGCTCTAAAACTACATAAACACATTTTTGGATTTGATGTTCTTGCTGTTACGCTTGTAACTGGTTTAATTTAGTAGAAAATTCTATAAATGACCATGCGAGTCACGTCTAAATTATAATTAGTGTAAATACAATATAAATGTGCAAAAAAAATTAATAAACAAATAAATAAAAAAGATCACTAGCCTGCAAATCAGCCCTGTTGACACAAACAAAACTTAGTACTACGCAACTTGGCATACACAAATGGCTGCATTCATGTCACTCAAATAAGATGCTCAGGTTGTGCACACGATGAGCATGCTACAAATTACCTTACAACAAATTCTGTCAAAAACTTGTTCACTACATTAATGTGTATGAAGTAAAAATGTATGGGGAATATTGCACATGTTATTTATTTGTAAAATAAAGCTGCAGTAATAGAAAGTGCAGCAGTAATTGAAAGCAATCAAGCATCCATACATTCTACAAACTATATTGAAGAATTAGTGTTGCCCAACTTACCCTAATATGCCACTATCGTTACACATTCCAAAAGTAGACTCACTCCTGTGATAGCTGCTTTTTCTTCTGTCATCCACTCTGTGGAAATAAAAGTTCACATCACTATAAAGCCTTTGTGTAGAATGAGAACAGATTTTAGCTGCAAAACACATAAACAAGAGGCCATTTACTATGGTAAACAACGTTACTAGGATTTCCCCAGTACAAATAAAATATTTTAAGGACAAAACAAACACATTGTTTATTTTTAATTTTATAAATTCGGCACGATGACCTTAAAAATACAGAACTCCTAACACCACTACGGTGACAAGCCGGTGGCTGTTTTAAACTGATGCAAGCGTCCCTGCAACGAAAACCTGCAACTCGCAAATAAATAAACAATCGTGTGATAAGCATTGTAACATTTACGTTAAAGTTTCCCTATTAACGTTAATACGTGTGTGTGTTTAACTTGCTCTTTAGTTGTTTACATAACTGTAACGGATAAATCTGCAAGAGAAAATCCCGACGCTAAGCTGGCTAGGAACATGGAAGTCCAACGTCACAAAACAAAATGGGCTGCACGCTCGCAACCTGGAGTCCGAGGACACAAACAAGACTTAGCAATCTGTGGAACAACAGGAGTTATCTTCCGAATTTGAATTGTTATTAATATATAGTGCATTATAGGCTACACTCCTATTATATTACCGATGGATCACGCGGTAAAACAAGTGTACGCATTTTCTCATGGGCTCACTCCCCTTTAGAACGGCTCGTACTTACCGTCGTGCTCGGCTTCCTGCTGTTGTCGTGGTCCTTTGAAAGACTACCTTCCCGTGGCACAATGCGCACGAACGCTATTTCCAAACTTTCAAAGCAGCATATGGAGATACTTAGAAAGCAATTCGTTGATTTAAAATAGATAATTAAGAGCTTGATGTTAGTACATCTCGAGGCACAAACACCAGACAATGTGGCTCAACCCGGGATGTTCCGTGACACTCCACCTCTTGAACCTATGAGAAGGCAGCGAACGGAGACGATGACCCGCCTCCAGTTCTACGGGGCCTCCATTTCAATCTCCAATGCGTGGAAGCATTTTTTGCGCATGGTTTCTAAGGAACGTAGCTTAAAATGGCTGCCGATGTCGTGGGAGGAGCTTGTTAGATCTTCTGTCGACCATCTTACGTGGTGCCTTTAGGACTGTTGCAGGGAGCTTGAACAGTTTCTTCTCAAAGAACCATAGCAAGTATGTTTGCCCAGAGCTGTAGCAATCCATGCCACAAGTATATTGTTCTTGGTGCTGCAATGTATTTATTATGCTGTGGGTTTAGGCAAAAAACTCAGAACCTACTTTGGAGCCTAGGCTACCTCACCTTTGCTCCTGATAACCCTCTGTAAATACACTGTTAACTGGATCTGTGTTACAAGACACATTTAAAAAACTAAAATAATGTTTGAAATTGTATTTGTAAACAACTAGTATGATTCTACGTTGGTTCCTCTGGTTTACCAAGATGAATCGGATTAACCATGTGAGTACTAAAACATCTGTCCCTGCAACATTACAGCATGTCTTTATTTTGAGCAAGTTGTAGGCTTACATATGGCATCTCCCCCAAGGGATGTCCTAGCAAAGACGCACAAATGCCCCACCCAGAGAAAGGCTCCATTGTGTTCAGGGAGAGAAACAGCCCTGAATGTTTTCATTTTCCCCCTTAGTTTTCTTGATATACCCTCCTGGTTTAACTGTTTACCTACCTACCTCAGCTAAATTTCGATTACCCCTTACTCTTTTCCTCAGAGTTGTACCTTCATATAAGAATAAGGTGCCTGCAAGCCAGGAATTGAAGGGGAACAATTAAATGAGGAAAAATTGTCAAATCAACACAACACACTCTGGTCATGTTGTTCACTATAGCATATGGATGATTCAGCTTCTTTAACTTTTGCTCAGTTTGCTATTTCTCTGCAGGTTTAAAATGCTTTAATTTGGGTAGGGTTTAAGACACATGATTGTAGTTGTGAGCCTCACAGTGGCGCAGTGGGTAGCCCAATCGCCTCACAGCAATAAGGTTGCTGGTTCAAGCCCCGGCTGGGCCTTGGCATTTCTGTGTTGGCATTTCTGTGTAATTTGCATGTTCTCCCTGTGTTTGCGTGGGTTTCCTTCAGGTGCTCCGGGTTTCCCCACAGTCCAAAGACATGCAGTATAGGTGAATTGAATAGGGTCATAATTGAATTGGCCATAGTAAATGTGTGTTTCCCATTGTTAGGTTGCAGCTGGAAGGGCATCCGCTGTGTAAAACATATGCTGGATAAGACCCCTGATTAATAACGGGACTAAGCCGAAAAGAAAATGAATGAATGATTGTAGTTGTCCCAACTTTACTGCCACGATACAGCCATTTTAGGTTGCATGTGACAGTCAATTAAAATGATCCTGCGGTGGCAGTTACCAACTATTTAAATCTTGTGGGGATGTGTACATGTCACATTTTAGTATTGGTACAGTTTGCTTGAAATCTTGCGCAAAGATTCTACCAAAAAGTACTAAGTAGATTGTACATTGGAAAACCCTCCTAAACTGAACCATATCATACAGTGGACAAGGGCCCTAAATAGCTAGGACAGTGGTTTTCAAAGTGTTGGGGGTGGTGTAGGTAATATGAAAACCTCTAAATAACCTTCATAGTCCAATACTGTAGAAATGCCTGCATCTGTGAATATTATACTTAACATAGTAAGGTATATGTCTAAAGTGAAAGAAAATGGTTTGAGTAATTTTCTGCTCATAAGGTCTTAAAGTGACAGCAGTCTCATAACACCATCTACATATGGCAAGGTGCCATACCTTTTTGAATCGTGTAAACAGCTTTCTATTAGGGTACATACACTGGGGCTGCCAGTTGGCATCTGATAGCATTGCTTTGTAATATAGAGACAACCATGTAGAGACTGGACATGTCGCCGCCCACTTTGGGGTGTGTACACACACGAGGCAGGTTGCCTTGAACCAAGTGTAACCCCGCTGGTCCTACACCACCTAACCCGGTCTGAGCTGGGATCTAACCGGTGATCTTCTGCATGGGAGTTGGTTGCTCTAACAAGGAGGCTAAAGACCATGGCCTCTAGCGTCTGTCGCTAGAGCACCTTTAGAGGTCAGAGGAATGAGGTTTACCTGCACAGCACTTACTAGCTGGCCTCCGTTACGCAAGCTCAGGCACGACTGCCCCCCTCTCTCTCCGGCCTACCTCTTCTAACTGGGTCAGAGGTTGACAAATTAACTGCACCCAGGTGTAGTGCGGAGCACACACACACACACACGTCAAAGTGTGATAGGGATAGCCTAGTTTTGAGTACACCCTTGAGGCTGATTTACACTTTTGCGTCAAGCGCATGCATATGGTTTGGTGCAGTCTTCACACGGTCGCAAAGCCCTCGTCACGCCTGATGCACAACCCTCCAAAAAATTTAACTATTTGTTGAATCGATGCGTAGATCAAGCTCTGTGATTGGTCGGCTTGGCAGTGTTGACGAGTGTGGGCAGTGCTGAGAGCCGCGAGCCAGATGGAGCGAGTGTTTACAAGTGTCGAGTCCTGCGAAGGAGCTCCAGATGGAAACATTTGTTTTGTGCTTACCTCTACTTAGAGGTTAACGGTTCCTGCCTCTGAATGAGCAAGTTGGAGCTACTTGTACATTAAGGTAGTGTTTAGAAAAAACAAAACACCCACAAACAAACTTGAGACAGAGGAACATAAAAACCTACTGCCAGCTAGCATTTCAGAGGTATTGTTGGGGCGCTGCTAGGGGGGGAAAGTTAGGCCCTCAACCCCACCCCCTCCCCCCACCCCCTCCGCTCTTCACTTTCATCAGTGATCACATTCACCACCAGGGCTGGAGTGGGACTCCTTTTCAGCCCTGGAGTTTCAAGCATTAGACCTGCCCACCTCAGTTCACGACTGACTATATTAAAATAAGGTCATTTCTAATTCAGTTTCAAATTACACTATCACATCTTTTTCAAGAAAACAGCTGCTTTAGAACTTCAAATGTTCAACAACCTTACAGTTTTATATGTCTTACCAATAATAATAAAAAATAAATAATAAAAAGAATTTCTCAGGTGAGGATCGAACACGGATCGACGATGTTGTAACGCAACATGCTAACCACTGGACCACAATGGCGCTGTTACGCTTGTGTGGCCAGAATAATACTTACATCATTACTACCCTGCAGGCTGCATTTTGCTCAGGGGGCTGCGAGACGATAAATAAGAAGAGCGGAACTGTGGCAAAATAATGAATAAAAAGAGTGAGGCTATGGTTAAATAAATAAATAAATGAAAAAAATGTTACATGTGTGTAGAGTGCAAGCAGCTAGAAACACCGCACCACCCCAACCCCAGCTCTTCGACCGAACTCACACTATGCACAGTTGCCTTGAACCGGGGCAAAGCACGCTTGTCTACCCTCCCGTCTCCCCCGACAGCCCGCATTCACATTACAATCGGGCCTGGATACGCTTTTGTCATCGATGCTGCGCTGGTCAGTAAGCGCTTTCTCAGCACAGTGGATATTTCTCTAGATATATCGCTTTAGTTCTTAGGAATGCGGTGACACGCAGTCTGATATTTCGCCGAACAGATCCATTTTGCCGCTCATAAACAATCATAAAACCCTTGTGCTGCAGGAATGAGGAGGTTTGCTGAAGGTGCGCAGCTGTCGTGCAGTTAGGGGTTTGCATATTTAACAAACTACGGCGGTTTGCGTTCACTGAACAGTAAGATTGATTATTAAATCCACATGAAACAGTCCCTTAAAAGTCATGTCTCGATTTCAGTTTTGGGCTTGTCCCAAGTGAACCGCGCTCAGGCCCACCTCTTCCGACCGGGCCAGGGCCGGCCAAGTGAACAGTGTCTGAGCCCGATTCAGCGGAATCACATTTCTCAAACGATCCGGGAAACCGGGTCAAAATCCAGGAGAGTCAAACCTGCACAATTTAAAAACCTGATCATACTGATTGAGTTCTTGAGGTTTGTTTGAAACTTACAGGTAGATGTGTTGAAGCAAAGTTGGAACTAAACTGTGCAGGACTGCGCCCCTCCAGGAACTGAATTTGACACACTTGCTCTATTAGATACCTTCATCTGAAATTATTTTGGAATGCCAAAATTCCCTATGTGGCAACCATTGAGGATAGTACAATACGAAACAATACAATTATTCATTCATTCATTTTCTTGTCGGCTTAGTCCCTTTATGAATCCGGGGTCGCCACAGCAGAAGGAACCGCCAACTTATCCAGCAAGTTTTTACGCAGCGGATGCCCTTCCAGCCGCAACCCATCTCTGGGAAACATCCACACACACACACACACACGCTCATACACTACGGACAATTTAGCCTACCCAATTCACCTGTACTGCATGTCTTTGGACTGTGGGGGAAACCGGAGCACCCGGAGGAAACCCACGCAAAGGCAGAGAGAACATGCAAACTCCACACAAAAACACCAACTGAGCCGAGGTTCGAACCAACGACCTTCTTGCTGTGAGGCGACAGCACTACCTACTGCGCCACTGCCTTGCCACAATACAATTATGTACCAATAATTATGGGCAACAAGGTGGCACAGTGTCCAGCGCTGTCGCCTCACAACAAAAATGTCACTGGTTCAAACCCCGGTTGGGTCAGTTGGCATTTCTTTGTGAAGTTTGCATGTTCTCCTCGAGTTGGCGTGGGTTTTCTCCGGGTGCTCCGGTTTCCCCCACAGTCCAAAGACATGCCTTATAGGTTAATTGAATAAGCTAAATTGGCCGTAGTGTATGTGAGGGTGTGAATGCAAGAGTGTTTCAAAAAGTGCTGGGTTTTGGCTGGAAGGGCATCAGCTGAGTAAAACACATGCTGAATAAGTTGGCGGTTCATACCGCTGTGGTGACTCCTGATTGATAAAGGGACTAAGCTGAAATGAATGTACAAATAAGCATTACTATTGCAGCAAGCAGTAAAAGGTATAATTGTTTAGAGTAGATAAGATGGCAAAATGTGTATGTACTGGACATAAACCTTTAAATGGCTTGTTTATGTTGTCAGGGGAAAAATTGCCTTTGCCAGACTTTACAATATGAGGACGCCAAGATTTTCTTGACAGTATACAGTGCATCTGGCAAGTATTCATAAAAAAAATCATTATTTCTTATGTTTACAGCCTTATTCCAAAATGGATTAGATTGATTTATTTCCTTAAAATTCTACACACAATACC